TATATGCCATATAATTAACTTGTTCTACAAGCTATTAAAATATGTGGTACGTGACTAAGTTGTTGACCAAATTTCTAACCTATTAATTAATAACAAATACGTGTAAAATCAAAGCATCATCTATGAGGCTTTTAAGAAGCTTTTTCAAAAGTCATTATGAAATTAATCTATTTTTACCTACTTCTATTTAATTATATAGATAATTATTAGTATAAATATATATGTTTGTGATATTACTTACTTTTTTAGAGATGAATTCTATGAAGAGCACTCATCATATATTAAAAAAATCCAAGATGTAGAAATTATGTTTGCTACATACTCTGATATTTATTTTCTTTAAAGATGGTTGATAGGTCTTTTCAGCCATCAATAGTATTCTATACCAAGGTGTAAAGACTACCTTTTTAATTGATCATTGTTGAGGCCTTCAAAACTCCCTTCAAATAAAATATTTGGAATACTGTCAAAAGTTGTTTCTATCTCTCATAAAATCACAAAATATCAAGAATCTCTTCCAAGGTCATAATATCAAACACATATGTCTTGCCATCTATTTGAGGAAGAACATGTCGTTCTTAAGGATTTTTATTTTGATTATGTCATCTTGAAGGTTGTAACAATCACAATGTATCATTTAGTAAGTTGGCAAACAATAGCTCTTGAGTTAAATCTACTAGTTATCATAAATATATAGAAGCTACAAAGAATAATAGAAGATATAATGTTATCTTTCTTAAATCTTATTTCTTTTATAACAAAGATTTATTATTCTTCATCTTGATTTTAATGGATATTGTTAATAAAAGCCTCAACCTTTTTTATTACATTTGTAAGATTCTTTATTGGCTCCCATGTATGTTCACTAATATCTTATCTATACCAATGAATAAGATATTCTAATCTATTTCGGCGTCGCCTAAAATCTAAAATTTTTTCTACTTTGAACACTTGATTATTATCTACTTTTATAAGAAGATGTGGTATTTATCTTCTTCCTAAGATATTTATTGTCTTGTATGGCTCCAAAGAGATACATGGAATATGGAATAGATCTTCATAGACTCTGGTAGATATAATCAATAAGTAATATGATTGACTTATTTACAAATAACAAAAGGTCCAAGCCTATAATAGTCCAACTTATTATAAGGATGAGTAGACTTGATATTGCAATGAAATAATTATACCGTATCACTTACATTGAATTAAAGTTATGCATTGTAATAGGCATCTATATTAATCTTTTTTCATTTTTGAGCTTCCTTTAATTAAGCTTTCATTATTGCATGCAGCTTTGACAAATGATTTGCCAAATCTTTTGCTCTAGGATTATTAAATTTTTAAAAGTCAAAAATAACAAGTCATAGATAATAACAATAATTGACAAAGAAAGATGTTTATTTAGTAGAGGAATGTATCAAATTATTGTATACAAACTTTGCTAATGGCAAAAGAATTTTTTAATCATCTTGATAATAGTTGATGGTACACCTCAAATATTGCTCTAGAATATGGTTTATCTATTTCATTTGCCCATCAGTTTGAGGATGAAAAGTTGAAGAAAGCTTTATATTCACTTTTAAAATCTTAAAAAGGATTTACTAAAATCTTGATACAAATTGAATCATCTTATCCGATATAATATCCTTAGGCAATCCATGATAGCAATAGATATTATTAAAAAAAAGCTTAGCCATTTTTTTTACTTGTGATAGATTTTATATATAGTATAAAATGTGCTATCTTAATAAAATAATTTATTATAAAAAATATAGAATTATACAAATTTAAGATTAAAAGATCCATGATAAAATCCATAGAAGTAGAAGACCTAGACAGATAAGCTTTTGAAAACCTAGAAGATGTTGCTACAACTTAACTTGTGCTTCTCTAACTAAATCTTTATTCTTAACATCTTTCAAAGAGCTGATTGTCACATATAATGGCTTGAAGAATAAATTGCTCTAGTGAATCTGCTCTCAATATTGTCAATAATAAATCTTTGACATTATCTTTTAATCTATATCAAAACTAATTGATAATGGCTTTATCATTCCAATCCACATCACAAGCAAGATTTTGAAATTCACTAGTATATGTGGTGGTTGAATATGATCCTTGTCATAGTAATATGAACTTGGTCTCTATTACTTTTTCTTGATCACCTTTTCCAAATGTTGTCATAAATACTTTTAAGAATGAATTCAAAATATAAAGTAGTTATGAAATTTTTTTCTATCAAAGGTGCAAACTAAAAAAGAACACTTCTGAATGAAAGTACACCTATTAATCCAACTTGTATAAATCCATCAAAATATTGGAAAGGATACAACCTTAAACAGAGCTTAGTTTTGTTGCAAAAATCTTCAAAATTTTGATCTTCTCCCATAAAACTTTTTAGACATATTAATCCTTGCTTCTCTTATGCTTATAGGGATGAGACTTTCTTAAACTTGATTGTGAGGCTGATTTATTTGCTTCCTTCAACTACATAATTTTTTAGTATAGACTTTAGACTTCTTTCATATGTGTAGTAATAATACCTCCATGATTTATATTAGAAATAAATAAAAATTTTATTTTCAGAATACTAAAAAATTTATGAAGATCTATAATAGTTACAAATCTATTCATTCTTCTATTAAGAATAGCATCCATAATCTTTCCTTCTAAAGATAATTCAAATAAATTTTAAAAAATTAATTAAAGAAAGATAATTTACAACTTCTAATGTTAAATAAAAATTTCTACAAAAGAAATAAGTCATTTTTTATAAAAAAAGTTATTATTAAAAAATTAAACTATATGTTTAAAAGTAGTTAATCTACAATCTTCAAAATACAACAATAAAAGTGTGGTAATTCACTCACTTCTAAAATAAGACAAAAATAATAAGGTAGCACTCTTATCAAACTATCAAAGACATGAATCTTAAGAAAAGAAAACCTCAATATATTCTTGAATCACTCAAAAAGACTAAAAATACTCAAAAATGGTAATATATTGAATTGAAATGGCTATTGCCAAAAACTAAAATACTAGAAAGTCTTTAAATAAGACTAAGAATTAAAAAAGCATTAACAAGAGTGAAGAATGCTTCACTCTTGTATCCATATATATTCTCTAACTAAGAGCTATATGGCAATATTTTATAGGACCTCTAATACCTACTGACTTTGCTAGACATATGTTTTAACTTGCAATGCAAGTTATCTATATATGCACCATATAATTAACTTATTCCACAAACTACTAACACATGTGATATGTGGCTAACTTGTTGACCAAGTTTCTAGCCTATTAATTAATTACAAATATGTATAATATCAAAGTAGTATCTATGAAGCTTTTAGGAAGTTTTTTTTAGAAGATATTATGAAATTAATTAATTTATATTTATTTCCATTTAATCATGTAGATAATTATTAAAATATATATATATATATATATATATATATTTCAATACTATATATATGTGATAATAAGTCAATTTAATACAAATCTAAGTTTATTTAATATTTATCATATATTATATTAAAATATGTAAGAAATACAAACTTATAATTGTAATAATAAAAATATACTTGCGATAGAATATTTTATATTAATTAAATACTCAAAAGGTTTATAAATAATAAAATCTTTTAAATTTAGTATAAAATTTAAATTTACTTTTGTTTAAACTACATGTTAAGTTAAAACCTCATTATTGAAGATGCCAATGATATGCATTAAAGTAAGTATTGTAACTGGACTTGTTATTCAAATTTTGACACAATTTTTTCACATAATTTTTTGTATAGAATTTGGTTTTCCAAAAGCTTTCAAAAGATGATTCTAATAAGATTAGAGATGACTCCAAAAGATTATGAATATCCCAAAATAGTACAATTTTGACTTTGGAAGCTTACATACATATATATATACACATTTAGAATTAAAGCACTATGTTAAGACAAAATAAAATAATAAAATGAACCTAACCCTATCTCAAATCATAACTACATGTTATGTCTCACAATATTGAACATTCACCTAATTACATTGATTTTTTTTTCTCCAAAGATCATTCTAAATTACTCCATTAATAGTCACAACCCCCAAATAAAAACAAATCCCCCAACCCCTAATACTACTCTCCAATACTTCCAATCAAAACCATCCAACATTCTAATAAAACCATTACAATCCTTCATTAAAACACAAAAGGCATATAAACTAAAAACATTAAATTGTCTTTCAACTACCAAAAACACCATCAAACACAGAAGGAAAAAGAAAAACCAAATGCATCACATTGTCAAGCACTACCCCTCTTATCAACTCTTGTCAAGCAAAGAACCAAATTAACTTACAGAATGGTCAATAGGAATTGGAAATGACGTAGTGTTGATTGAAGAACGAGGGATGGTTTGCAACAAAAGGGACCCTCTCCCCTCTCCTCTCCTCCTCATGTACTATACTTCCTGTGTGTCTTGCACTGCACAGCAGAAGCAGCACCACCAAAGCCTTCCCAATCCAAAGCAAAGCTAAGGCAATGCTATGCAATGCAAGCAACACCCAGAAGCGTGCATCGCGAGAGACGCAAGGCGACGACGACGACCACGACGAGGAGGATGCGAGAGAGAGATGGCAGAGAAGAAGAAGGAGTGGGGCCCTGCCCTGCACTGCAGCCATAAGGCTAAGAAGAAGAAGAGGGTGGTGGTGGTGGTGGTGGTGGATCCCAGTGCAACACTCACTCACTTCACTCACGCACTTGGCTCCAAAGAGAGAGTACCGTCTGTGCACGGACAGAGTGGGGGGGGTGGCTGGGGGAGGAGAAGAAGAAGGAGACGGGAAAGGAGAGACAAAGACAAAAGACATATAAACAAATACAATACAAAAAAAAAAAAAAAAAAAAAAAAAAACAAGGATAAAACAGGACTTACTCCACGACGACCAGGGCGATGCATTCTTGCATGCTGTTGATTGGATTGGCGCCACAAAATTGCGGCCACTTCAGCCCCGTCCTGGCGTCGGTTGGGCTGAGGGTTCTCCTGCGGCAGTTGAGCTTCTTCTAAGGATAATGGGGTTTCGACAACCTTCGGATGAATAATGTCGCCTTCTCATCTCGCTGTGCCCGCTGCTCACGGACCATTTTGCCAAACTGTCGCTATATTTGGGGAAAACACGTTGCTGCAATTCCGGATTTTTCGATCGCGAATATGTCCTGGACATGGGGTTTTTCTTGTTTCTTTTCTTGTTAAAAAATCGTTTTCAATTTTTTTAATAGTAGCATCAAATCGGATGCGTCACAACTGAGCAGATTCCGGTTGAGTGGAGTAGGGAGGTGAGGAGTGTAGGGGTTGTTGCGCGACATGCATGGTGGCCGAGGAATGGTGAAGGTCAAGGGGTCGGGGCTGGTGTGTGGAGTTTCTATGTTGCGGGACCCAGTTGCTGTGTTTGCTGCGGTGGCGTAGTATGGTAGCTAGCAGATATCAAAGTGGTCGTTCTGATGGTGGGTCTGCTCTGCCTTTCCAGTGTGCCTTCATTTTTGCCCTCACGCGGGCGTGCAGTCTTTGCAACCGACACTCGTAGCACCGTGCTCGCAGCATCCCTGGCGATGGTGCGTTAGCACTCGCCGGGTGTTCAAAATGGCGATTTGGATGGATCATTGCTGGTGTTGGCCTTCTAGGAAGGTAGAAGGTGTGATGCTCAGGGTTGATTTGGAGAGTGGTTTCTGCGTCGGATTGTTTTTGGTGGTCTTGTTCTGTCTCGGGGTACGGACTTGGGAGTTGGGGGTTTTGGAGATGTGGAATGTTAATAGAGCGTTGAAGGAATGCGAGGCGTTAGCGATGGGTAGTGTAATTCGTGTGACACTTATCTGGAATCCTGATTGGCGGACAGGGGAATTGTAGTCGTGTAGAATGCATGAATTTTGAAGTTTCGCATCTTTAGGAAGGATGCGCTGTCGATTGTGAGTAAAGCGTTATGTCGTCTGTTGCCTTTGAAGTTCAAGCGTTGCCATCATTTAGGTCGCTTTGTAGGATTTCAGGATGGATCCCAATCGGTTGCTGGCTGTCGGTGCTCTACATACACTTGGTGCTGTCTGTACTGGAGGATTAGATGTTCAAAGAAAAAACAAAAAACATCAAAACAAAAAAGAATAAAGAAAACAGAAAGAAAGAAAGCATAGAAGGTTAACTAGGTATCACACTATAAGTTTAAGGGGGCTCTGTAGCTGCTTTCTTGACTCTTCTGTAAGAACTAGTCCAGAATGGCAACAAAGAGCAATTGTTTTCTTATTTCTTTCAAGATTGTATGATTTTATGTTCTACGAGTATGTATTTTGAGGTAGGGTACTCTTGATGCTTCCGCTCATAGATCTGTTGAAATGATATGATGTAATTAGGACTATTCAGTGTAGATCATTTGAAGTTTTAGGTTTTGAGTCACATCTATTGTGTCCTTTTTCAGTGCACCCAGGGTGTTGGCTTTGTTCGGAAGCCGAAGATCAATCACAAGAGGAGAGGGTCTGGGTCGGTGGTGTTTGGGCCGTGCGTTTAAGGATTGGCGCGATGTGGAGTGTGAATAAGGATGATTTAGCTAGAAAGCAGGTAGGATTATTCATCTCCCACAAGGAGGTAATTGTGAAAGACTGGCCGTTTCTCAGGATCCCGGTAGATAAATGGCCGAGTATGCGTATGATTCGGCTCTCTCGATGAAGAATTTAGCAATCCAATTTATAATGCTGAAACTTAAGCAGAATACGTACCAAGTGAATCAAGATGGATCTGTGGGGTGAAGATTGGAGAAAGGACTGTTTCTCTTCACAGAGAGGATGTTGGTGGGATTGATTACAGTGCAATGGATAATCCATCTTCCGACAGTGCTGATGGAAGTTTAGCAAACGTTGTAGGTGCATCACATCTTTCAGCTCGTTCTTGGCCAGAGACTCGGAAAAGCATTCGTCTAGGGACTCTCAGGTGTTGTGCAGGTTTTAGCGTCGACTTTTCCGTACAAACATGGAGGAAACTCTCAAGAAACGTCTCGGGTATGTTAAGAATTCTTCGACACAACGTGTTTACCTTCATCTTGGTGTTGCTGAGTGGGATCGTAACGTGGGAAAGTTCCGTGGACGATCTCCGTGTCAGAATCGACCGGACAATCGTGTTCCCTCTGTATCTCCCACATTCTGTGGCGCTTGCGGCTGCATGCGTTTGGACAAAATCTGTCGCTCCTGGGAATCTAGCGGGTTTATATTTGGTCAGGATGTACATGATTTGGAGGGGTCACCTGGAGTTTAGTAGCTTGAATACTACGGTCATGTTCCTGGTGGCATCTCTGGCGACAGTTCAAAGCCATCTTGGTGCGTACTTCTTGCGCAAGATCCTATGTCGGGTTAGCACGAAGAGGTTTCCAACGATCGACTCTGTGGCGGAAGCGTCGTGGTATTTGACCATCGTCTTCTTCCTTTCCTTAGGTTTTAGTATGGTGATCTCTTTGTGCATTACCATCACCCCTCTCATCCAATGGCAGAGCTTTTGGAGGTACTGGGGAACCTGGTGGCTTGGAGTTCTAGCAACCATGATCACTGTTACACCACTACTTACGCATCTCTTAGCTTGGGAGTACCCATCAAGCTTGAAGAGCCCCGGCAAATTGCTCGAGTGCATGCTGTGTACTGTGGCAACAGCAAGCATCATGGCCATCGTGTTCTTCTTCAACTTTGAACACTTCATGCCGCTGCCCTATCTTTGTTTCCCACTCATCGCGTGGACTTCATTTCGATTCAATAGAGTGGGCTGGGCTATCACAGTCACCACCATCGCTTACTGCTGTTCTTTAGGAGCCGTCCGCAGGAAGGGTGCTCTTTACAATATAACGGCGGGAGTTTCACCTGCATCCCCCGAGCTTGTCATTCAGGTTTTACCACTTTATAAGAAGTTACGCTCTGCCTCGGCGTTTCTTGTCGTGTATTTACATGATCCGGTCACATAGAAGTTGCAATTTCGCGTTGTGTAAACTGTTGTCTGACCACTGCTCCATTCGCCTATGTGTGTCGACTAAGTGATGCCTATGTTTTCAGGTTGAACTTTTCAGCTGTGTGATGGGAGTAATAGGTATAACACTGGCCGCAGCAGTACGAGAAAAAAAAGTTCTCACTCGGAAACTACATCAAATGAATATTGAACTGGAACACACTGTGGATATGAGAACGTTGGAGCTTCGTAAAGCCAATGAGGAGCTCCAAGTTTCACAGAAAAAAGCTGAACAAGCTAGCCACGCGAAGTCGGATTTTCTCGCTAACATGAGTCACGAAATCAGGTAATTCCTAGCCCCTCACTTGATTAAACGTCTACACTTTTTATGCCCTCAAAGTGAATCCTCTGATTATTAACGGATGATTGCCTCCTAATTTCACATCTAGACTTCAACATGTAAGGCTCATCGTTGACCTACTCTGTAGACTTCTACCTGTTTGGTTTGTGCCTTTGAATATTCTCTAGTGTGTGATGGGAGTTGCTAGCGATGGTAAGGTACAGTGTGACCTTCAGAACGCATAATTGTCTGAAAGACTGTTCAACCGAAATCCTGTCTAGTGTGCTTCCCTAGGCATGTATTGTACAACTTAAATAGATTTTAGAAGACTTAGAAGGATGATTCTTTGGGATGATTGCTTGACTTAGCTTGGTGCAAAGATGACTGAGTGCCTGATTGCTTTTATGTGTTTTGAATCAGGACACCAATCCATGGGATCCTGGGCTTAACTGCATTGCTATTAGAGTCTGATCTCTCTCCTGACCAGACGGAAAGTTTACAGTCCGTGAAGGAATGTGCGGATCTTCTTTTGCATATCATCAACAGCGTTCTAGATCTTGCCAAGATTGAAGCGGGACGCTTAGAGGTAGAGAAAGTCCCATTTAATATTCGGAAAATGGTATCAAGCACGTTTCGCATGCTACAAGCACGGGCGCAACAACGTGGCTTGAAGTTGTTATGGGAGGTCGATAAAAGCGTGCCGCAGACATTGATGGGTGATGTTGGAAAGCTTCAGCAATGTCTGTTGAATTTAGGTGTGTATTGGCCATTCATGCTCATTTCTCGCCCTAACCTTGACTTTATCAACTACATCTTACGCTCCGTTGAAGTGCACTGCTTTTTCATAAATTTGTGGAGCCACTGGGGAGGTTTTGTCCTTGCTATATCGATCAAATGCTAATTACCATAGAAGGGGGGTGATCATTTCATCGCTGCCGGTTTTCGAAGCATTACTGGAGTATTTTTTAACAATTTTGTTACTGGATGTGGTCTTGTAGTTGGAAATGCCCTGAAATTTACACACGAAGGCTCTGTGACTGTGAGTGTAATATTGACGAATGACACGACAACTGCGTCCCTCAACACAGATGATGGTAGGAACGAAACTTTGAAAGGGATCATGCAGCTCCCGTCAGCTGCATCCAGTCTGTTGCGATTGTGTAATGTCGTCACCTGCTAATTTTCTGTGGATTTATGTACATCAGAACTTTCAAACAAAGCGCTTGGAGTATCTGGTGATAAGTCTGAGAGCCAGGACGCTCCAGATACGATGTTCGTCGAATTCGAGGTGCGGGATACTGGAATTGGGATTAGTCAAGAGATACTACTTGATATGTTCAAGCCATTCAAGCAGGCTGATGCATCCACTTCTCGTCTATATGGTGGAACTGGACTTGGTCTCTGCATAGTTCAGAGGTATGCAACGTGTTGAATTACAAGTCAAAACTTTTGCAGGATTCATAGTTTTATGCTATTTTGTTAATTGTTGTTGGGTCTGTAGATGTCATGGACGGTGAGTCGGTCAAAGTTTCGTAATTTTGGTTTACGGAAAACTTCAAACAAAAATGGAGATTTGATTTGGCTCATATTAATAGGTTTGCATGCTTAATACTCTTGTTGGCATCACAAAGATTTGATGCAACGAGTCCTATTCTGCCTTCATGTATATTAGAACTTAAAGCTGATCTTATTCTATACGTTGTCATGACGTCTGTGTTTAACAAGATCATTTGCTTGGGTTCGATAGTTCCAGGTCATGTTTTGAAGTGACATGTGTAACCATCTATGTATTTTGCAATCGTCACATTCACTCCAAATATGTTTTTTTTCCCAATGAAGTGAGAATATAGTGCGAATAAGCATTTATTCATTCCTGCAGATTTGTTGAGCTTTTAGGAGGCACGATATGGGCTGAAAGCGAAGTAGGCAAAGGGAGTGCCTTTCACTTTCTCTTGCCTTTCTTTTCTAACAACCCAAAAGAGAATCCATTAGAATCATCCTCAAAAATGTTTTCAGGTTCCTTTCTTAACCCTGCTTTCCTTTCTTTGCATGAAGGACAGAGGTGGGGAGAAAATATCACACTAGAGCAGCTGTTGTGAAAGACTGATACCAATCAACCTAACGATGGAGCTCGTATTGATGGATTCCTTCCTTCTGCAGATAAAATCTATAGCCGTCAGTCCTGGAGCCTGATGGGAGGGTTGATTTTCAACCCACCTGGCAAATATCAGAATGAGTCCAATCAGCTAGGTTTTGGAGCCCAGGCTCAGAATTCAAACTTTGCTGCAAGGGTTCGATCATCCAATGATCTTTTAGGACTGCGGAAGGATAACAATGGTACGGCATTGGGTAATTCTGACAGCAGTGATCCTTCAACCGTGAATGGATATTCGTCAGTTTTTCGAGATTCCAAGCATAGCGGTAGTTTAGTGCGACAAAATAGTCTCGGTCCAGGACACTTCGCGTGTGTTGCACCTCAACGGTTACAAGATGGATCTAGTGCAGTAGTTGATGAACAGCGTACGGAGAAGACACGGTCAGATCCAGCCGGTGCATTGAACCAATGTGACATGCCTCTGAAGTGGGATTCTTTATGCAGTGACCGAATCTCAAGCGGTGAAGCCACGCAGGTGTCACAACAGGAGTCTTTCCTGAATTCAGCTATTTGTCATAGTAACCCGGAATCATGGGACCTAGTCCAGCCACAGGGCTTCGTGTCAGATTCAGCACGAACATCTTCAACTTTTTCAGGTAGGAGTTTAGGATCTGATTTCTTAAGGGCATATGGAGGTCTTGTGAATGCTGATAATCCGGGAGGGGAAGAAGCCCTCAATGAGTCAGAGGAATGTGAAAGAGGAAATTTGACTGGATTAGCAGATGATTTGCATTGTGTAATTGTAGCGCATAGTCTACATGGGAAGTCGGCTTCAGTGAGGTCAGATCTTAGCAGAGAATCATCTGCGGAGTTAGAAAAGATGTTGGATTGCAAGGTTAGTCTAAACATACTTCTGGCGGAAGACAACGCCATTAATCAAAAGGTCGCCAGCAGACAGCTTCAAAAACATGGACACTTAGTCACCATTGTGGGTGATGGCCAGCAAGCCCTGGACGTGATCTCTTGTCGTCACGACGAGTTCGACCTCGTGTTGATGGACGTCCAGGTACTTAGTGCTTCAATTTCCAGTGGATGTGTCTATTGTTTGTTTAGTTGAAACAGGAGGTGATTCTTGTGGAGCTGATTTGATCAGAACAGCAATGGGGATACATTTTATAGAATTCCGTGGATTTGAAGAGAAACCTGGTTTTGTCACGTTATGTTTGGAATACAGTAGCTGTGAGGTTCAGAGTGGTGAAGGTGCAGCATCACTTCTTTTTCTTTTTTGAGAGTTTCCCAGTACTATTTAATGCGAAGGTTTGTGCAAAGAGTTATTTATGCAAGCCGAGGACTTTTTTGTTAACAGGCTGCAGTATACTAATGCGCATTTCGGTGTTTTACAGATGCCAATAATGGATGGATTGAGGGCTACAGACCTTATACGAAAAGCTGAGCGTGAGAACAGCTGGACGCGAGTGCCTGTACTCGGGCTTACTGCACATGCTATTCAAGGCTACCAAGAGATATGCCTGCAACATGGAATGGATGGCTATCTCGGAAAACCTTTCGATATTCACCAGCTTCTCAAAACGATCGGTCATTTGTTGCCCCCTGATAGGCTTTGTCCGCAGCTGTGATCTGATATTTGTACATTTTTTTGGTGATGGTTGGGGGAAATTATTACATTGAACAATGTTTCGGTGGTATTGAACCGTGCCCTGATTGACATGATCATCTCAGCCATTTTCCTGTTACATTGTATGCGTCTATACAATTCCACACATGCAGATCTTACATATTTCATGTGCACATTATGATTTGGTAAATTTTCGTTAAGCACGTCACTGTTGCTAGCAGTGAAATTATTATTTTTTCTCCCCAGTTCGGATGAATTAACGTAGAGTTGCTCTTCTTAATGTTCTTTTCAGAGTATTGTAAGATTGCCGCCTTCAAATTCTGCTTATGGACATCCTGCAAATGCTCTGTAAGTTCGCGTTTCATAATCTTTGGCTTGTTTTGGTTACAGTAAGAAGCGTTTCGAATTTCATGGTCTTTAACCTCGAATATGCCTCCATCTAATTCGTAACAGGTCACATGGTACGAATGCGGTGAAAATGGTTATAACTTGCCCTGCAATAGCTGACCTTATGAGCGCACTTTCCTGTTGTCCTGATTACACAGCTGCAAGGCAAACGTACAACTCTTATTGATAACCAGATCGGGATCTACAGCGTGTCTAAATTCATCCAACTTTCCTACATTTTCCAAGAATAATAACAAAAAATCTCGAGGAGCCAATATATTTTCATTATACAAAGCAACCAAGACTAAAAACCGAAACCAACAGTTAAAAATTTCACTTCATCAATCTTTACATATTTTAGTTAATCTCGAGATTCCATGGAAACTTAAAGTTTAAGTCAACTAAGGAGCTACTATGTAAGCACTCAGAATGCAAACACTGAAGCTTGCAACTACCATCCAAGTTCCAAAATATTGCAGTATGTTACTTCCCAAAAAAAAAAAAAAAGAAAAAAAGAAAAAAAGAAAAAAAAGCCATAAATATTCACTTTCATAATTATTATGATTAACGAAAATCTCATTTATAAATTTAAAGTTCAAATTTTGATGAATGTTAACCAACTAAAATACTACCACCTCCAGCCCCCACTCTATACTGCTACTGATTGAGAAGTAAATGACTTATTTGATGAACTTGTTGACTGGATTACGTAATGATGCTATTAGTGATGTTACTCTGCATGCTTACATGTTGGAAGTAGGTCCCTTGGATAGTAGTTGGGCAATCTTCAACCGCAGCTTGTTTTAGTCGGTCCGTCTGTGTGTCCATCGTGCTCCAAGTGCGATTGGGCTGCTCTCCTGGCACCGTATATGTTCCCAAATCCGCGGGCTGCCAAGTTTCTGGCGACACAAAATTGATCATAAGTACATACGTATTCCAACATGATCATCTGAAATCCAGTTCCACAAATTAATTTTTTTCGACAACATGACGCACACCAAAGTGATTGAAAAGCACTTCATGATTACCAGAGTCGCCTGCAGATTTAATGGACACAGGAACTGGGTGAAACGATTGTTGAGGAGAAGGTCTGTTCTGATGTACATCTGCCATCATGTAAAGCTATTTTTATCAATTCTGATTAGTTTTGTTGACGTTTTTGGAGAAAGGAGAAGACGATGGGGCATGGCACTTGCCTGCAGGATTGACGCACCCAGAATCGTGCCATTTCTTCAGAGCTTCTGCTGCTGATATACAGCGCGCCTCCTCGTTGAACCTTGGGCTGACGCTATTGTTCAAGATTTGGGCATGGCCAATGGATGGCCCAAGTTTTGTGGCTTTGTTTTCATTCTGGTAAGAATCTGTTTACGTCCACCCCAACCTCATATGACCTACGAGGTTGTTTTCTGTTCTAAAATTATTTTCTGAGACGATGTCTGGGGAGGAAGGTGATCGAAGTACCAGGGGGTTTGATTGTTGAGCTGCGCTTGATCTTGAAGTTGGGTGGAGGAGGCTGCTGCAACAGTGACTTCATTGCTGGGGTCTTGGTAAGTTTGTCACGTCCAAGCGGCATCTATATAGTGCCAAAGCTCTTCATCAACAATTGACAAATCAACAAAATGCTAGGTTTATCCCCCAGTCAAAGCAGTGAAAGAGCTAACAGACGAACTGAACGACGCCCGTTAGTCAAGATGGCCTCACTGGGTTCAAGCTCCACCGTCCTTTGGCAGATACATCCTTCCTGCATACATCATACAACGACAGACCCACTTATCAGCAACACAAATTGACGCATCATCCTATGAAATCAAGCTTAAAGTAATGATACTATAGGGTTGTGGCTTGGTACCGAAGCTCTTCAGTAACTTTCTGTTCCAAAGCGATGTTGGACCGGATCTCCGCAAGCTTCCGCATCTTCTCTTGCATTTCTTTCTCAAGTTTCATGGTCTCACCAGATGCTGGCATGGTCCTCCTTCACATCAACAGCCCACTCAAGTAGTCCACAATCAACTTGTGCTTAACTCCCTTTTCATGCCCATGATTCACTCACAATTTCACAATCGCCCATCGCAGCTACATTGTGTTCATAAGCAAAGTCAATCATAAGTTTCTCCCACAAAACGCGCGTCGCAGAATCAGACAAACATAAGCACCTGGTGCGCGTGCTGGTAATGAATCCAGTGCTTCCAGACCTTAGTTGCATCGGTGCTATGTCTTTCATGGTGCCTCGAGTATGTTAAAAATCTTGACCAAATTTTCTGAAAACCAAATCCTCATTCAGAAAAGTGAGGTATGAAAGCAGGCGGTTCTTCGAACCGTTCCAGTCTTGGACACATCATCCATGATAGCTGCAACTTGCCAAGCAAATCTCCGGTCGTCGATGCCGTCCCAAGAGGATAACAGAAGTGGTGCGATTCTCCTCAACCTTCTCGTGTTGCCCTGGAATGGCATCACACACCACATGGTGCCGTTTCTATCCAAGTCATTCCTCAGTGAAACCTTGTTTATTGAATTGCAATCAACGCAACACACATCATCTACCACTACTCAGATGCCGAATTTTTTGCCTCTATTATCTCACAATGGATGCTACCATCGACCTCGGCTACTCAATTTTGAGACCCACCGACATTACCACAGAAATCACAAACAAAGACATTCCTTCCACAAAACTCCAGAAAGTTCCACAGCACTACATTCATCTATAAACGGATGAATGTACCCATCCATCCATTATTGGCATGTAACTGAACTCGATTTAGCTCTCGCCTTCGACTACTTCAACCACTACGATTATAAGAGTTTGAATACAAAAAATTACGTTAAAATTGGTGATATTGTAAGAGAGCGAAATGTGTTGCTGTAAAAGAAGTTTGAAGATGCACATTTACATGGACTTAATTAGCAAACATCACATGTCAGAAATAGAAAATGGATTGAAATCTGTCGCAATATGGAATAGGAAAAGAATGGTATAATAGTAAGGAGAATAAAACCATGTCGCTTTGTTACTTTACCACCGATGGTGTCAAGCCAATTGTTACGAACTGGCTGGCCGAAGCATCACCGGCTATGCCGAGGTCTGGTTTTTTCCAGCTTGGAATTGACGCCGAACTGTGACTGTTGAAGCTTCACCTCCGGCAACGATGGCGGCACTCCATGCGCTGCCAACCTATCATGGATTTTCCTTGGGACTCGGAGTCTTCTGCCCTCTCTCTAGTCTCCTTTTTCCGTGCTCGTCACCGAATTTCCAGCCCAACTATCTCTGTGTATTGGTCGGCATTTTGCTTCAAGCTTTGTACACTGGCTGGATCTCATTTCGCATCTGCTTGCCTCGCCAGCTTTTCAGTCACGCTGTTTCGGATCCATCGCAGCATTTTCTATAAGTCGGTGTGAGCTTTTAATCATCCCTTGCATCGTCGCATCATCGCTTCAATACCTTGAGTTATTCTTTGGCGTGACAGCAGATTCGTGGACTATTGCGGTAAAAATCATGAGAGCCTTGAAGAGTGGGAGGTAATTTGAATGTACTATGTATAGGTCGGGATGGAGAACGGGAGGATTATGCGTTACGAATAAAAGCTGAGCACTGTAGTGTGTGCGTGTGTGTGTGGGTGCGGAAAATCATTGCATTGTGAGCCAGCTTCATTGCAGAGCCGGCTAATGTGTGCAATACTGTTAGGAGTAGATCCAAGTTTTGTGGACATTTTGTCTACAGTTAGCGTAGTCTGTTGTTCCCTGATCTTGAGACGTGAGAGGAATAATTCAAGTTATTGAAGCGATGTTGCGTTTGAAGCTCACAACCCTAGTGCACGGTGTGTGTGTGTGTGTGTGTGTGTGCATGTTCATTAATTTCTTTTTTAGCGGACTGTAAACAATGAATCCGGCTAACCGCTTGAACAAAAGAGGGATCGAGATTGGAGTTAAGGAACTGCCCAGGCAATTGATTGCGCATTGAAATGCAAGTACGCTGACCACAAGTGTGTTTCTTCGCTGCAAACAAACTTCGCGATGGTGGTTTTTTGCCTGAGAGGAGAAGAGCGGGGGTTTTACAGGTGACGTCATTGTTGTATTGTTGACGGGAATTTAGCGATCAGAGAGTTTGAGAGAAATGATAGCTACCTTAGAAAGTAATAGGTTTAATGAATAGGAAGCTGTTGAGAGTGGACACAATCTTCTGAAGAGTCATGGCCCCCACGTCTGCGAGCACTCCGCGGAAGCCAGTGGTTACGCCCAACTCAGATCTGGATTCAGCTGTCCATTCTCTTGAGAAGTTCACGTTGTACGAGACGCAAGCGGTACGCTATGATTAACTGTTGTCAGTTTCTCTTCTAAATTCACCTTGAGTTGATACGTGATGTTAAATTGCTAGTCGCAATTTTGGAATCAGTAGCTAGAGACCTTGGTTTCACCATGGACATTTCTATGGATCTGGTTTCTTCTTAACTATTTTGAAACCTTCAGCAAGTTCAGAAGTTGTTTGCTGACATTCTTCGGCAGTGGAACACTTGAATCAATGACTTCTTTTACTTCATCTTTAGCAATTGGATGATGAGGTCATGAATCTTTCCTTAATATCAAATTGCGAAGCTGGTCTAGTTATGGGCCTCAGCAATGGACCTTTGCCTCGTAGGAAATAGTTGTGGCTTACTCTCTGAGTATTAAACATGTGTAGATTGACTGCATTCTTCTCCACAGATTTTCATTTTTGAGAGTCCAAGCTTCATGCCATGAGGTTGGAGACTGGCAGATTTGACCGTTGAATTTTTATGATTTTGTAAAACATATCTAAAGTATCTCAGTCAAGGACCGTGTGAAGTTCAGAGTGCGAATTATGAAAAATTTCTCGTTGAACTTTGTGGCAATAAAAATAAGCTTAAAGCATACTTTCTGATTACTATGAAGTGTACTCAATTGAAAAATTGTGGGTGATGTTTATAGAATTATTATCTCATAGGAAGGGACAAGAGAAAGCAGCATTGGCAAGTGCTAAAGATTGACCGTACCGAAGCCTCAGCGTTGAATGTGGTGGAAGATCCTGTAATTTACACAGACGCTGAGTGCAAGAGACTTCTGACATGTATAGCTGAGGGCAATAAACCTACTGGGGGACTCAAGCTAGTCACGAAAGCTTACGGGATCGTGGGTAAGGTTCACCTACTATTTAATCCTATCTTCCGTCAGGCTTATGAAGTATAGTAGAAACTGTGTCAAAAAGTAAAATAGCCGGGAGTAGGTGGATAACTCCTTGTTGAATATTTCGTCTTTTTTTTGGTGTTACGTGGATGTTTAAAAGATAATTACACGCCTCAGAAGGGGTGATTCCGTTTGTATCAGTACATCGTGGACGGTTTCTGGGTCACGACTTCGTATTGTATACTGTTGTGGTCGTTTTATGGCGTGTATTCGCCCACGGTCTTGTGCTTGTGCTTGTGCTTGTCCTTTTCTTTAATTCTTAGGTTCTATCATTACTATTTTTAAAGTCGATGTCTACCAAAAGATGCTCTCTCAAATATCAGTACTTCGTTCTACTCATTGAAGCTTTGGGATCGGGTGGTTGACATTGTCAGACTCTGACATAAACTGATTTGTCTCAGTTAGAAAGCAAGTAAAATTCAATCGCAACATAGTGTTTCAGCCTAATTTTTGATATGAATTTTGGAAAAGTTTCTACGCTTTTTTTTCGTTCATAAATCAATATTTCAGCTGAATAGGAGTTGGTAAAAATAGATAGGAGGTTTTAAAGTTTTGAAGTTGATGATCTTTAGATAACGAATGATGTTATCAGTACGCTAATTGTGTGCAGCGATTGGTTCTGATTCGCTCTTATTGCATCTGCTCATTTCCAGGATTTATCAAGTTTAAGGAGTCTTATTACATGATATTGGTCACCAAGCGACGGCAGATTGGAACAGTTTGTGGGCGTGCGATATATCGTATCGAAGAGAGCCAGTTCATTACTGTGCCACATTCGACTGTACAGACCGAAGCCTCTTACTCAAAGGTCGAACTCAGGTGCATCCTTCTGTCTTTTACCTTTTCTCTTGCATTGACTAGTAGCTGTAGAGACATTGACAAGTGATGCATCAAGGTTCCACTTTGCCTTGCTTTTTTACTCATTTCTGAAATTTTCTGAAACAGGTACAAGAAGCTGTTGTTAGCAGTGGATCTTACCAAGGACTTTTACTTCAGTTACACGTATCGGATTATGCATTCTATGCAAACGAATGCAATGGTATTAGATGACGATCAGATCCCGTATGATAACATGTTTGTGTGGAATGCTTTTCTCACAAGAGGCATCCGACAAACCTTGAGAAACACTCGGTGGACCCTTGCTCTTGTCCATGGATTCTTTCAGCAGGCAAGTGCTGTTGATCTTTCTTTTACCTCAAGTAGTGCAGATTGACAGCACTTGAGTGAATAGTTGTGCATTATATCTCATGTACATTCTCGACGAAATTGAAGTACGAGATATTGTTTCCTGCGGTCATGTAGTGTAATGATTAGAGCATTTTTGTGAAGTTTTGTTTGCTGTGAACCTGGTGGCTTGTGATGTTGCGTTTTATATTGCAGCAGGAAAGACCTACTTTGGACTAATAGACTCACACTGAAATGAATTTGAAACGTAATTCTACTATTGAATGCAGGAGAAGCTTTCAATTTTCGGTCGTATATTTGTTATCACTCTTATTGGGAGACGTTCTCGACATTTTGCTGGGACAAGGTGGGTGTTAAGCGAAGTTTTTGTGTATTTCACTGTACATTGTAAGATTATGGTGCCAGAACTTTACTTAAGCACCAAGAGCAACTACCGCATGAATTGAAGTGCTGTATGTGCGCTCTTTTATATTTTTTTTGTAGGTACTTGAAGAGGGGTGTGAACGACAAGGGTCGTGTTGCAAACGATGTAGAGACCGAGCAATTAGTTATGAATGAGGAAACAGGGATTGGCCCAGGTACCGGACAGATTAGTTCTGTGGTGCAACATCGGGGCTCCATCCCTCTCTTTTGGTCCCAAGAAATGTCGCGACTTAGTCCCAAGCCTGACATCATACGTAAGTACAGGGTGCTGCATTAAAGCTTATCTCGAGCAGCTATTCAATGTTAAGGAATATTAAGGAATATTAAGCTTTCGACGTTCTCCTTTTGCCTTTGATGGGTCTGCACTTGTTGTCCTCGTGAGTTTGTTGCGAGTGTTTTGAGTCTATCTAAATTTTAATAAGGATTTAGGTTTGATTATCTGATATCTGATTTCTCATAGCTCGGTAAAATTGCAGTGCAAAGATTTGATCCAACTTATCACGCCACAAAGCTACATTTTGATAATCTTTCAAATAGATATGGCAACCCAATTATCATCTTAAGCCTAATCAAGGTATGTTGGCCTGTTCGTGTCGTCTGTACCTGTGCTTAGCAAAAGGAACCTGCATTTATGGTGGATTCTCACGTTTACGCCTGTAGATGGAAGTACCGTGTTTTATCGATTATCTTCCAGAAAATGCTAATTTGTGTGCATCATAATGCTTTTCTTCGTTTTAGATATTCAATCGATTGAGCAGTTATCGTTTTTGAAATCAGACAGTGGAGAAACGGCCGCGAGAAATGATGTTGCGACGAGAGTATGCAAACGCTGTTGGTTACTTGAATCAATCACTTCCCGAGGACAGGCAACTGAAATTTATACACTGGGATTTTCACAAGTTTGCGAAAAGGTGATTCCAACTTTTAATTAAGCAAGTCATGCTGATTGATTAATTATCATTTTTTGATTAGGTAGTGAGCATTGTTTGTATATAACGTAGCTAATTCCGTGCGCTCGTCTGTTAGTGGCAATAAATCAGCCAATGTCCTGGCAGTACTAGGAGGTGTGGCAGCTGATGCTCTCGATCTCACAGGCTTCTACTATAGTGGTAAACCGCTCATTTCCAAGAAAAATACGCAACAGAGTCTCATATCCACCACTCCAGTGTAAGTTACTAACCACATATGATTGGCTAGATCTCTAGGAGATTGATGTATAACGATAATTTTGTTGCTTTTTGGATAGAACGTGAAAGAAGTATGCGTTTGTCTACCGCCTAGCATAGACGTTGTCATTTGAATTTAGTTGTATGGTATGTTTGAGATTTAACATAAGGTTGCTTAACTAATGTTTTTCAGAATACCACCAGGCAGAAAATCTCCATTAAGAGACCGAAGCTCGTCGCTTGATCTGGACCGCCGCTTGGCGTTGGACTTGGGAGGCCGGCATTTGTCTATGGATTTGACCAGTCTATATTCCGCTACAGGAAGTAGCAGTACAAATGGCAGAAATGGAGCTCTAGAAGTAGAGCAAAAGGACCTGAATATTGATCCGTTACGGAAGCCTCGCTACCAAAGTGGTGTTTTGAGAACAAATTGCATCGACTGCCTTGATCGCACTAATGTTGCCCAGTATGCATATGGACTTGAAGCCTTGGGACGCCAACTCCAAGCTTGTGGTCTAATAGACTGTCCTAAGATAGACCCTGACTGTGAGGTTGCAGCTGCTCTTATGGATATGTACCACAACATGGGCGACTGTCTGGCGCTTCAGTATGGAGGTTCTGAAGCTCACAATTACGTATGGCTCTTTACTACGTAGTTGAAATTTGTTTTTGCTAGTTCTGTCTTCATGGTGATCATGAGAGATCATTATAAAATAAGCATCACGATGGCAGTCCATGCCTTACTCTGGATGTTAACATCGAGGCTATAAGAGAGATTAGGCATCGTAGCACTGCTATGCACTTAAGAACTTATAATGGAAAAAATAGATGAAGATTTTCAGACCCATGGATATGAAAATGATGATCACAGGTATTTCCGGAAAGGCAGGGGAAGTGGAAGGCGACAACACACTCACAAGAGTTTTTCAAGTCTATCAGGCGGTATTACAGCAATACTATCACAGATGGCGAAAAGCAAGATGCTATGAACTTGTAATTTCTCTTCAAACGTATTTTTAGTGTTAGTAATGCTGCAAATTTAAAGTAAAGGGTCTAGTGATGGACATGCAATCATGGCTCTGTATCTACTTGCGTAAGCTTCATATAACCAATCGGCCCGAATTTAGAATGCTCTCTCGTGTTCAGGTTCTTAGGCCACTTTCAGCCACAAGAGGGAAAGCCTGATCTCTGGGAGTTGGAAACCGACTATTACCTGCATGTTAGCGGCCAAGGAGAGGAATCTTTGCTTGAACAGAGGTAAGAAAATGCCTTTTTAAACCTCGTCAGGGCTACAAATTTAAGTTGGTGACATTGTCTTGATTTGGAAAATAGATGTTAGCACCTTATGGAGTTGAGGTCAGCAGAAGTGACCACTGGAATGTTTCTGTGAAACTTCTAATTACATTGATCAATAAGCATAGGACTCGTCATTTTGGTACAGAATGAGATTCGAGGTTTTTAAGGTAGATGAGGTGGTGTTATGATGTGGCAAAAACATCTTTAGGATTACATCTCACGCGGCCAGCATCTTTGTTGGGTCCTTTTGACTCTGAAGGGGCCCTTACCGAGAAATTTAACGTTATTTAGGCTGTTTATGCAAGGCCTGGCTACCACCTGTGATTTTTTCTGAATTAATTCATTGATGGATGTGCAGAACGACCAGAATACCCAGTAGAAAGCCGTCGTTTAGTTCTCAAAAATCACGAAACAGAACTCTTTTTTCTGTGTCTCCGTATGATGAAGACTTTCGCCGTCTTAAGATGACATCATTCGACAAGCTTCAGGTTTGATTCAAATTTCATTATTTCTTTCTTGTAACCTCATCCATGTGGCTCACATTTTGTGGGTAAGTGATAGCAAGTTACCTACCGAAAAGATTTCAGTTTCTGCTTATCAAGCTCTGGTTTCAGTAAGAATAGATAGCTTTTGAAGCATGAAATTTTTCTTGATTGTACTGACTATAATACGCCATCAACATTGAAGCTTCGCAATACAAAAGTTTGTAACTTCCATTGGGGAATCTGTCACTCTGACTCTTATCTTGTCAGAGATAGGTACGTTAGATGATAGCTCAGCTGTGACTTAGTATTAATATCTTGCATATTGACTTATGCACGTTTCACCATATTGCAGGCAACTCGCGGATCTGTAAAGAGCGTGCGCATGTACGGGGATTCAGGGTTCAAGAGGAGAGCAGTTGCAGGAGTTGCAAGTGATGCAGCGTGAGTTAATTGCTGTTAGTGATGTCATTGTATTTCTTGCATATTATCATCAGTTATATGACCTCTGAAGTACCCGTGTATGCTTAGCTTGCAGAAATTAGGAAGTGCAATCAATAACATTTACATAAAATTTTGAATATCCATGGCCATGTTGACGGGGATTCATCTGATTGTGCATACAGGGAAGTTCAGTTAAAAAGTCCGAATTGGCTATATGGTCAACGTAAGCCTGAAGATAGCGGTCCAGCAAATGTAGACTCCCCAATAAGTGTTAAACCTCTGGCTACGAAGAAGGAAAAGAATGAGCAAGAATTTGAGAATCTAGATTGGTTAACAACATTGTGTCCTTACTCGGAGGAAGAGCTTTTTACGAGGTACAAGTGCTTTTCTTTGAGGATACTTCCTGGTCCTCGACTGAACTTAATCAGTAGGAAATCTATGCAGAAAGTTTTGCCTCCGGAAGTTCACCTAGATTTTAGAGGCTATAAGAGAGACTAGTCAACATTTCAATCCAATTCTGTGTGCAGGCTCATGACCTGAATGCAATTTTAAAGTTTTATTCCTTTCTTGGAAGCAGGTATGTGCTTATGGGATTAAATGAGGATGATTCGTGGTATGGAACCAGGCTCCTCCCTGGCACTGTAAATAGTAGCGAAGCCAACCGACACTACATGGAGTGCTGCCAGGTTCTCTGCAATTGCCTTGGAATAATTTGAATCAACATTTTTTTTTCCTACCAGTTTATACTTATATCTCCAACTTATTCCAACCTAGTCCCCACCTTAACGGGGCATCGGCAGTTACTGCTGTCAATGCTCTTTTTATCGAACGAGAGACTTGGTTGCATACATGAAGTTATCGCTTTGAGGCTGTACGTCACGTAGGGTGGAAGTTAGAAAACTTGACACTTACAGAATCGCTTGTTTCGATTCAGGGGCCACCGCGTGATTTCGAGGACGTGTCTAGCAGTAGAGGCGCGGTATCATTTCAGTCAGTCTGTGAGTTAATTCACTTTGACGAAGACATGGTGAAGCTAGCAATGGAAGCTGCTCTGAGCCAGTTCAAGAGCATTGAAAGCAGCGACTTTCACTTGGCCGGAGATGCGCCCGCATTGAATTCTACTAGCGATTTTGATAAAAGATTCCTGGTTGATCACAAACTTTGTCAAGTCTTATCATGAATTAATTGGCGGCTACGACGATAGTCCAACTTCAGCAGTCCTTTGCAGAGCAACAGTTTTTGTGACGCTAAGTTTGACGTTAATCCCGGAGGTGATAAAATCCTTTGTGAAACTTGAGCTCTTGTGGAGCTATGCTTTGGAAATAGAGCATCTGGAGGGTTCGAGCATAATTGCTTGCACTATTTACATCCATCTGCCAGTAAACGTTGTAGGAGCAACAGAGCTGGTTGGTAAAGATACGCAGACAGGATTACGCTACCCCTTAAACCATTTCCTTACAACAGTGGAAGAGGAATAGGTAGACGCGGCTCAGTATGATGTGAGCTCCTAGACTTTGGTAACTCGGCCTATAAAGTTGATTACCAAGTTCCTTATATGAAGAGTACGCAGATAGCCTCTCATTTGAGGTGATCAAACAACGCACATCAATTCAAGGAGTTTGGAGATTATGCACATGGGGTTTCGTATCAAGCGTCACAGGAGGGTTGATGAAGTGCTGGTGCAGTTATGAGGATCCCTTGGTAACTACGGAGGCCTTTGTGGAGGGTAGATGCCTGGAGGATAATAAGAAACAATTTTACTTTTGATGATGAACCTCTAAGTTGAAACTGGTTGTAAGAGAGAGGTGTTGCCTCCAACCGAAGTTGGTTGATTTCAAGTTTTAATTCTTTCAAATAAAGAAATGTTGCAAAATCCGTGTGCTTTGCACACAAACAACATTTGATTTCTTAAAAAATGTGTCTTTGGTTGTTGCACTTGATGGATGGTTTTTACCGACATAAATTGATTAAGTAGAACAATCATTTGGTACATTGGTTTGTTGCCATGTATTTGATCTCCATAATTGATTATGCAAAGCTAGTTTAATTCTTGACAGTTAACACAATGAGTCTCTTTTTATGAATTATCATATTAATTGTTGTAGATTGTTTAAATGTATTTATTACATGTCTAATTTATACAAAAATCTCACATTTTCACATTTCTTTTGTCATTTAAATTTCATATATTAAATTTCCTTTAAATATTATGTGATCTTCAATGTCATTTTCAAATGTATAAATTAAATAATTGATAATCGTATATATGATTATCATGCTCATTTCAAATTCAAATCAAGTCATATATTTCCTAATACACAACAATAATCATACTACAGCCTTCCATTTTAAAACGAATTTCATCAATTTCATGATTCTAAACTTATATTAATTTGAAGTTTTTAATTAAGTTAGATTTTGATGTAAAATAATAATAAAAAATAATCATAATTAAAATAAATTAAACCAAAATATAAATAATTTTTTTCACTTGGTAAAAATACTACTTCAATCTAAGATTAAAAAAAAAAAAAAAAAAAAAAAGAAAAGAAAAAAAAAAAAAATCACCTTAAACATATAGTTAATAATATAAAAAAATATTTTTTTCAAAAAAATTATACAATTCTGATTTTTTTCTTTTTTTACTAATACATTAAACTAAAGGGATTATTAAATTGATCCATACATTTATTAAATAAATCCACCTATTATCATTGGTTGTAGATCCAATTATTTTTTTATTGGTTTTCAATTAATATAGATCCAATAGTAGAGAATTTTTTGATGATGATGTCAACAACATGAATGACAATAATAAAATCCACAAAATACTCTTGTATCACTCAAGAAGAATATATATTCATTCAAAGTAGTATAGTATTAGAACTATAATAGCTATTGTCAAAGATAAGAAAATTAGAGTCTCTTGAAACTAGACTAAGAACAAGAAATACATTGATAAGAGTGAAAAAGACTTCACTCTTGCTTCTATATATACTATCTAACTAAGAGCTATGTGGCAATGTTCTATATGACCTCTAGTATGTGTCCAACTTCCAAAATACATGTTTAACTTATAAGATAAGTTTCCTATATATGTGCTACATGATTAGCTTGTACCACAAGTTATTAATACATTATTGTGTTGTGGTTTGGCTACCATGTAAAAATAATGTACATATATATTTAGGGGAATGATAAAGTGACTCAAATTTTTATTAAAGAAATTCATTCTATCTTAAGGATCATTGCACCACTGAAGCTCCCATTTCTATTTTCAGCCATTTCTTATTCTCAATCATTGCTAAAGATAAAAGTAGGGGGATTGAGAACTTTAGGAATGAGGGTGATGGTTGACAACAGAGGAATGGAAGAACAATTGGGAATAGAGCATATAGATTGCTTTATCATTTTTTTGTATTTAATATATAATTTATTATACAATATTGAGAAAGTATTATTATTAGATTTTATTTGATTATAAAATGTAGTTAGATTAATATTTTGAAGTGGTTAGTTTAAAAGGACTACTATTGAGGTTGCTTTTTATATTGATAATAGTTTAATATACTTAGAGCCACTTTTATTAGATATTGGTGACTCTTGAAATCTTATTTTGTTTCTTTTATTTAATATTTAGGATTTATATTATATAAAATTTATTAGAAAAAAGATTAGAGAAGGATTTTTATATAAAAAAAGATGGTTAGATCATCCATATGGATGAATAGAGATGGATGATAAAAATCTCCATTCCTATTAGCCAAAATTCATATCCAATGAGCTTCAAGGAAGTTGCTTGAGGCCTTATTAGGAATTAAGATTATTCTTTCAAGGGCATTCAAACATCAAAGATTAAGATTGTTAAGTTTAGAATTTTGGATATGGCTTTGATAAAATATTTATATGAGTTGGAGTTTTTATGAAGAAGATATAAGTGCTGAAAGTCAAGGTATTGATTTTGTACCTTCTATCATTTTTAAAAGCATAGGGTATGGTTATAAATGGATTTTGAAGATTGGATTGTACAATTGGAAAGTTGGTATAAAGAACTACATTCTACATGAAAAATGTGAAAGATTTAAAGTTGATTTGGAAGAGAAAAAAATACTTAAAGATAAAACTTTTAATTTGAAGTTTGTGAGTAAACCAATTTTATGAGGGATTTGGTTCTAGCTATATCTTTAGAATTTGGACAAATCTTTGACTAAAATTTTCTATAAATATGTATTATTATGTTTTAAAATTATATGCAAAATTTTGTGGTATTTAAATTTTGGATTTTTAAGATATGAAGAAAATAGTATTCATCTAATTATAAATTGGAGTTTAGAGTACTTAATAGGATTACTAAGATGCCAAAGGATTGGTAGTAAATTTATAATTTAATTTTTTTGATAAAGCTTAAAAATAAATTTTATATTATTTAAAAATTTGAAAAAAATTGAATGGTTGGATTAAGCAATATAAAATTCTAAAGTTTGAAAAGAAAACATTTTTTGTGGAAAAAAAATGATTTGAAGGAATTTTGCTATAATTTGAGCATTTTATAGAAATTAAAAGGGATTTTAAGGAGCCAAGACTTTATATATGTTAAAAATGGATATATAAAGCTATGATAAAATTTTAATATAAAGATAAGTTTTTGAAAAGAGATTATGGATTTTCTTTGAAATTATTAAAAATCTAACTTATTGGTAAATGATTAGATATGATTTAGTATAACAAAGGATGTTGGAAAATATTTAGATACTTTAAAAAATCTTATGTGCAAACTTCTTTAATGTAAATGGTTTTTATTAGTAGAATATCTTTTGATATTGTTCCATTTTTTTTATCTTCTATATTAGGAATAAATTACTTATTGGAGCTTGATTAATAAGTTAAAGCTAAATTTTGTATATCTAGGTACCTAGTATTAGGGACCATATACAAGATAAGGATTCAAGACCAAGGAATGGAGTTAATTCGAAATTAAAACAACAACTACATACAAGGCAAGAAGATCCTAGTTAAACTATACGAAGTGAGTTGTTGAGACTGAGGATTCCTTTAAGCTCGACTCCTATATATATTAGGTCTTAAAAAGCTTCTTGAGAAGTTTCTATGAGGCTTGAGAATAAAGCAAGCCTAAGATCCTTCTTTAACATCTTTTTAAATCATCTAAAGCCTCTTAAAACCTTCGAGGACCTCCTAAGACTATCTACATCATATAAAATAGAGAAGACCAAAAGAATATAAACAAGCTATGGTTATGAACTCAAACTATTGACTTATACTATTCTAAACATTTGACAATAAGTGCCTCTTCAGAGGTTGCCTCTTCCCCTTCTTTATGAGGCTAAGAACTAAGAATCTTCATGGTGAAGCCATCTTACTAAGCTACTCTCCTTTATTTTGCCACTTTTTGTCTAGATGGATGTCATTGATGGACCCTTTGAACCTTCATTTGTATATTTATAAGGTTGGCAATTAATTCCCACATACGATTGTTGATATCATATCTGTGCCAATGGACCAGATATTCAAGCCTTCCATTTCTTATCCTTGAATCTAATATCTCTTCTACCTCAAATTCAACATGATCATTGATTTCAATCATAGGAGATGGTGGTTATCTTTGACCTGGTATGTTTGATTCTTTATACCTTTTCAAAAGTAAAATATGAAAGGCTGGATAAATCTTCATAGATGTAGATAACTCCAAGTGATAAGTTATGTAATTAATTTATTTTTGAATCACAAATGGACTCAACTTTCAATAGTCCAACTTATCTTATGGCCTGTTGGTTTTTATATCTATACTTTATTACCAACTTGGAATAGAGGATGTTCCTTCCTCAATTCATCTGTAAATAGCTTATAATATTGTTGAGCCCTTTCTAGGTGATACTTCATGGTTGCTTGAAGTTTGACCATCTTCATAGCAAATTTCTCTACTTCTGGATTTACCAACTTTAAAGGCTCTATCATATCCAACTTTGGATGATGACCGTAATTTGTGTAGAATGGTATTTGTTGTATAGATACATGGATTGTGTTATTATATGCAAACTCTACCAATGACAAGTAGGAAGTCCAATTGTCTTATTGATAGTTGATGGTGCACCTCAAATATTGCTCAAGAGTTTGGTTGACCTGCTCCGTTTGGTCATCAGTTTGATGGTGGAAGGTAGAAGAAAGATTGATGTCAACCTTAGAAATCTTGAAAAGTATCTTCCAAAACCTTAATATAAATTGTGATCCATGATCCGATACAATGTCATTTGGCAATCCATGGTAATAATAGACATTATCAATAAAGAATCTTACCATCTCTTCATCAATAATTGACTTCTTGCAAGGTATAAAATATGCCATCTTGATCAATCAATCAACAATTACAAAGATAGTATCAAATGAGTTTGATGGTGGGAAATCTGTAATGAAATCCATAGAGATAAATGATCATGGTTGTTTTGGAACAGGAAGGGGTTGAAAAAGTCTATATGGCCAATGTTGAGGGTTCTTTGACCTTGAATAAGTATCACATGATAGTACAAATTCCTTAACGTCCTTTCCCATTTTAGGCCACCAAAAGTCTCTAGAGAGAATTTCTAAGGTTTTATTGAATCTAAAATATCCAACTATAGGGAAATCATGGTATGTTTGAAGAATACATAGGTGAATTGGTCCTTCAAGAATGAACAAACATTCTTCAAAAATCAAGAGGTTATCTTTATACTTGAATTTAGAAGACTCTTCAAGAAGGTTGTTGGCAAGACACTTGATATTAAGAACAAGAAGGTCCATATTTGACGCTTTACAAACCTGATCAAGAAATGATAAATCTACATGCATTAATACATTAGTTACTCAAAGATGAAATTTCTCAGGATTTAACAAGGTTTTCCATTGTTGATCATATATTGTCTTG